TTTTTTTTCCTTTTTTTTTTTTTTTTTTTTTTGGTGTGCTGCAATGTGTTATAATTTTATTGTGGTTTTTTCCCTCATTTTATTTTATTTTATTTACGGTGATGTCCAAGTCTTGAGGACGGTCAAAAATGGGGTGTCTACAGTTGCCCCTCTTTGACAGAACTCGAAAGTCATAACAATGACGGGAGTGAATGTCAAAGCCCAGAGACAACCCATTTTTGACAAGGCCGAAGACTCAAACAAACATGCAAGGCAAACAAGATATGCGCCCGAAGGCAGGGGCAAAATGCAAGACAATGCACAGAGCCGGACATAACTTATGATCATGCAAAGAAAGCTGTAACGAAGCATACAGCTGATTGAGAATGTGCACAGCATAGGAGATATCCGGACGGTGAGATAAACAAGGCACCCAACCAACTCGTAAAACAAAGTGGGATCTTCAAGAGGAACGCCATCAGAAGCAGAAAATTTAGCATGCAGCTCAATAGGAGTGTCGACATTTTTGTCATCAGTGAGATTGGCACGAGAAAGAATATCACGGGCATATTTAGTCTGAGAGAGAAAATACCCAATAGGAGAAGTAGCAACCTTAATATCAAGAAATTATTGAAGAGACCCCAAATCCTTCATCTCGAACTCCTGAAACAATTGATACTTAACCTCCTTAATAATACTATAATTAGAGCTAGTGATGATCATGTCATCCACATATAAGAGAAGGAGAATAAAGCCAATAGAAGTGCGCCGAACAAATAAAGCACAATCATGATGACGAGGGTGAAAACCAAGCTGAAGTGCAACAAAGTGTGAAAGCGCTCATACCAAGCACGAGGAGACTGCTTGAGACTATATAGAGCATGACGAAGACGACAAACAACACCAGGAGGGTGAGAGAGACCCAGTGGAGAGCGCATATATATTTCTTTAACAAGATGCCCATTCAGAAAAGAATTTTTGACATCGAGTTGAAACAAAAGCCATTGATGGGTAGTGGTAACAGAGATAAGAGGGCGAACAGTAGTCATATTGGCAACGGGGGCAAAAGTCTCATCGTAATCAATCCCATACTCCTAAAAAAATCCCTGGGCAACCAAATGAGCTTTGTAGGAAGACGGATCATTCTTCAAAACTGGTGCAGAAAAGACGACAGATGAGCGAGATTCTGAAGATGTCGGCTTAGAGGATGGTGGGCTAGACGAACGACCCTTGGGCTACAAAAGTTTAGAACGAGCTTGTTTCCAATGGCTTCTCTGATGACAGAAGCTGTACTCATCCATGGAAACCCGAGGCTTGGGCTTACCAGTAACCTGAAATAAATGAGATGGTGGGGTAGGCAAAAGTAGAGGATAGGCAAAAATTGACTTGGAGGCAGGAGCACCATGAGCCACCTTGAACCGAGTTTTTTTCGCAATAAGCTCATGGATAGCACCATCAATGGAAGGCAAGGGGGACCAATGAAGAATAACTCCCCGAAGTGGCTTAAATTGATTACGAAGGGCCATAAGAAACTAAACAAGACGTTGCATCTCCCGATACTTGGTATAATTGTCAAGTAACTGCAAATATGATGGTTCCATTAAAGCAACCTGATCCCAATAAGTTGTTATCTCATTGTAGAACTCCTGAATGAACTTATCTTTCTGACTAGCACTGCGAATAGACATCTCAAGTTCATACGGTTTTGCAAAGTTAGACTCAAGATAAAGAGTTTTCAAATAGTCCCAAACTTGTTTAGAAGTAGAATACTTGGAAAAATTTATACCAACCGTAGTTTGAACTGAATTATGAAACCAAGTCAGAATTTGTGCATTTTCCTTATCCCATTTAGCAACATCAGCCTCAGTTTCTTTGGATTCTATAGGTTTAATAGTTACACTAATAACATAGTTCCACATGCCTTTACCTATTATAAAATTCTTCATTACATGAGACCGATAAGAATAATTGGTACCATCCAACTTAGTGGCGATAGCTTGCAATTTATCATCAACCATATTGTTATAACCAAACTACGCAGTGAAATCAAAACAAGGTGAAAAACAGTAGAGGAGAGAGAGAGAGAGAGAGAGAGAGAGAGAGATATGAACGACCTGTTAAATAGTTTGAGAAAGTAGGATCAGAAGTGACATTGTTAGAGCTGCAAACCCATCCCAAGAGTAGCAATTTTTTTGGTCCTCATCCTTCTCTTCCTCCTTAACTAAACTAGACAGAGATAGAGATTGGTCGAAATAGAGAGAAGATCAGTAAGATATGCAACCTAGGCCTTTGACTGAACCAGAGACCAGTGACGAGGGACCAGAAACCAGCAATGAAGACTTCTTAGGGTTTCGACTGAACCAAAATCAGAACTAGCACTGCTTTGATGTGCGAGGAAGAAGAAACAGAAATCAGTGATGGAAGACTAGAGACCAGCAATGAAGACTTCCTAGGGTTTCGATTGAACTAGAACCAGACCTAGCACTACTTTGATGTGCAATGAAAAGAATCCCGGCGAAGACCTTGTAATGACCTTGCGAAGAGAAAGAAATGGCTACAATGGCCTTGCGGTGAGAGAGAGAGAGAGAGAGAGAGAGAGAGAGAGAGAGATAGCTGCAACGACCTTGCAATAAGAGAGAAGCGATTGTAACGGTCGATGATGACTTGCGACAAGTATTCTAACATCTGTAACCTTGCTTTGATACCATGATAACAGAGAAGTTGAATATTGTATATTGAATTAATCAATCAAAAGCTGAGTACAAATATATAATCTAATAGAATAAAACCCTAATAACTTAGAAGACTAAACTACCCTTAATGAATAATATAAAATACAATTCACACGCGCACACCCCTACCTCTGCATGTGTTATCTTTCCTCCGTGCTCTTGCCTTCTTTCAATCCTTTCCTTCTGAATGCTCTGATTAACATTTGAACTCACCCTTTGATGTCCCTAGTAATTTCCTCTTGGTTGATTGCTACTTATGTTCCCCTTTAGATTGCTTCTAGACGCTTTAGCATATTCTGCTCCTTTGACCTTTAACTCCTTATCATCATACCATAGCCTATCAGCTTTTTTTACTACCATCTCAACAACAACTAGACAATTGTATCTAACAAACCCGAATCTTGATCCTGTTGCTTTTCTCCTCTTCATTGGTAAGAACACATCCTTTACCATACCAAATTTTGAAAACAATCCAAATAAGCTTTTAGGATCCATCACCTCTAGAATGTTGTCCACAAAGATTGTAAACAAGCCCCTCTTACTAGCTTCATCTGAATATTTGACTGGACCCTTCCTTTGGACTACTAGTTGCCAACCACCATGCTCTCTTTCTCCTCTCTCCATATTGTGTTTTTACAAAGTGAACAAACATGAACCATATCATATACCCATGATGCTTTTGCATCAAGAGATTTTTATGTTTATTTTTTTGTTTTGGAAGAAAAACATCAAGAAATGAATATATTTAACAGGATGTTAAGTCACTATAACAAATTAAAATTTTAGAGAAAAATTTTAAGAACGAATGAAATTGATAATTTAGTGATGAATTAATATCCTTTTAGGACTAAAATTTGTCTCAAAAAATAATTTTTTTTACATGAAATTGTTTTATCATTAAAAGTACATTTATTAGCAATATTTTTAAAATTGTCACCAAATGTTTTTTTTTTAACAAAAAAATACTTTTCGAGATGATATTTTGGCAACAACTCTTGCGAACACATGAATTGGTCCTCTAATATTTTTTACAAAAAAAAAAAATTTACTTTTATGAATAAAAAAATTTAGTCCTTCAATTGAATAGTTAATTTTCAATCATGAATTCATCCTCTTAAAAAGTTAAGGCCTTATTTGATTAATAAGATTTTTTTTTTATCAGCAAAAAGAAGAGTTCTATTGATGAGAAAAATATACAATATATATGAGATTGCATCAATAAAGAAAAGGTAAAAGCATCATACTGAACCCACGTATTCCTAACTAGGTTAGCACTAGAGAGGACACCCAATCATGTACTAACTCAAGCCAAGAGGTTGGTGAGAGACGAACAATATTAAAAATTTGTTTCTTAATATTAAAAATTTATCAATTTTATTAGATTGAATATACCTTGTACATATAATTGTTTTAATAAAATTGCAATTAAATATAAAATTGTGAGTTCATAGACTAACACGTTCCTATGCTATAGTAATTGTAATCAAACATGCCGTAAAGGCTCCATCGACTTAATAGTGTGACTAATATTGGAAGCGCCGTGAAGTTAAATAAGTAGTTTTAGGTCGGCCTAAGCTAGATTAAATAAAGAAAATTGGTGAGGAAGCTCGGTTCGGTCTAATGTCCATCCTAAAAGTTCAATTCTAAGTTCTGGGTTAAAAAATTACATTACAATTCCAAACTTGTCCAATAGAATCATAATTTAATAAAATATAAATTTAATAAAGTAAAAAATAATATTTTGTAATTGCCTTGGCACAAACATTTAATTTTTCTTCATTATATCTTAAGTTTGAAGTTTGGTGGGTGCATTTTCCCTCTTTGGCTTATTTTTTACTTTAAAAAAAAAAACTAAATAAATTATATCTGCTTCTATAAATAAGACATAAATTATATAAAATATATAATGATCAGGTTGGATTAGGCTTAAAGACTATTCACAAATTCAAACCATTTAATAAACGGACTTAGAAATTTATCCAATCCGATCTTATAAGCCTAAAGATGAATCCCAAACTCTTAAAAATGTAAGTTGGATGGGTTGGTGTCTTAATGAACCTTGCTTGGCAATTAAAAATTTTACTTAAAAAGTCATTATATTTTCTACACATCTTTTTATGAAAAATTAAAATAAAATATTGAAATAACTAATTTCCAAACGAGCCTTAAGAGTCACCAATGAAAAAATAAAAATGAGGGGAAAAAAAAAAGCATAAATAAATTTTGTGAAAAATGATTGAAAGCGCTAATAAAGGAGTTTTAATGAGTTCTAATGGGGTGGGCCCCACAATGATAGTGATGTTTGTGTATTTTTTATTTTTTTTTTTCATTGTCAAGTGTAGAGAGCTCTTTTTTTAGGGGAATGTATCACAACTATAAATTTTGTGAAGTTTTAACTTGATTATTCATTTATTTTGACGTAAAATATTTCTATCAAATGTATTTTACGTATTTTTTATTATTTGGTTGAATAAAAAGTAAATAAAATACGAGAGCTGCTATTAGCACCTACCTCTTTACTTTGGCCTTCTCATTTGTTTGAATCCCTACCCAACAAAATAAATCCCTCCATTTTCTCGTTGAACTCTCACCTTAATTCCAACTATACCCTTCATCTTTTTCATCCCAAACTTCCAACTATACCCTTCATCTTTTTCATCCCAAACTTTTTTCTTGCAATTTTCCTACCACCGGCAGTTGACACCCTCCATCACGGCGCACCACCACCAACCTCTGCCGCCACACCGCCATGGACAAGGAGCTTCAGACAATGATCAAGGAAGTTGACGTTGCCGGCGATGGATGCATCAATCTTGACGAGTTCATTGAGCTCAACAACTTGAATTGAACTAAAAACCTCACCATTATCATTGCCAACAGTACTCTGCTCTGCTATTACATAAAACAAATGTTTAATTACACAAATCAGATTTGATTTTCAGGCCACACCTCCCGAGAAAATCTGGGAAAGAAAAAAAAATCACATTTTGAATTTCAGTAAAAAAAAAAAGGACACTACACACATCCATTAATGAAGCCAATGGCATGTTTGACCGGGATTGGGTATTCAAGCCTCTCTTTTTTTTCTTTTTTTCTTTTTTTTTTCATTGTTTTCCGAGCAACTAATCAGAGTGTCAAGAGAAAGCATGCTCAGAAACCATATGCCATCTTGATGTTGATGTGGTGTGTGACGCCCAAAAATCAAGAACATCAATTAATATATTAATTATTAAATATAGAGTTTATCTAAGGTTATAAGAGTAGAAAATATTATTAATGAGTCATTTGACTAATAACCAAGTAAGATCCCAAGAAGATCGAATGAGTTAAAACAACCTCCCTTTTAAGTCTAACCATCTTAGATAGCAAAACTACCTTTTTGACAGATCTTGACAAGGTATTATAAAACAAGACCTACATGAGTTGACGGAGTGTAAGGATAGATTACAAATGTTATATATATACAAATTACAAAATCATGTCTTAAATACAACATGGATATATCATTTACAATCTCAAAACACGTTTAACATAACTAGTTCCTAACTCTCATAGGATAGCTATATGTCTTCAAATACTTCATCTTTGCCTTCAACCGGTCTAATAGTTTTCAATACTTAGCATGAAATGCTGTGAGTTTTGAATACCCAGTAAACGCGCACACACCCCGTCCCTTTTTTCCAATCTAATATACCATCACATTTATAACAAGCAAGTGATGAAGCATGTATTCAAGTCAATAAAAAGGATTACAAGGTTAGATATTAGTATTCTAGAAATCCCCCAAAGAGATTTCATCCTCACAACCACAAGAATTGGACAACGGACTATTCGAAACTTCCCCTTTTGCTGCTTTGTTACAGAACTTACCTCGGATGCCTACCAACGGCTATGTATCGCTTAGCGCCAACCACAGGGCCTCAAAAGGGATAGCGAAAAGAAAAAGGTTTTATCACACAAAATCCAACCTTATCCTTCCAAAAAAAAATTATCCTCCTGAATGTCCTATCTGGACCCAACCTTATCTCACCAATCAAACCATCGAAAAGAGTCCGAATACGTTCGTTCTATTCTAGGGTTTACGCGACAACTGCTTGCGCAAGACTCAACCTTCAATTAGGGAGCATATCTCATCAATCCATATTTAACACATTATCATCCTTCATTATTCAAGTGATCGAAATCCCATTAGCCGCCCAATTAAGTTTTCTGTTTGGATTAGTGTTTTAAATCAAGTTAGAACAAACTTAACAAGATAGTAATATCCACATAAGTATGAGCATCATTAAAATGAAGAAGATAAAGAACATAACCATAACACATGCAATGTCATACCAAGACATGATCATAAATTAATAAACATATTCATGGACACAAGAGCATAAAACACCTATGCAAAACTAAATTTGCAGATTCAGTAACCATTTAAAGATTAAAATCAAAAGGACAATTTTAGATTTTTCCTGAACTCAGACTTCCTATGGTTCATAGAAAATTTAATCTAGTTTTCAAAACATGTTTCCGAAATGGAATAGCTTTTCTAGATTTTTAATTCTTCAAGAAACACTCCAGCGCTGTCCAGATTCGTCGACCGTTACGAAAATCGAAATGTTCTTTCAAACCACTCACTTTTTTTCAATGAAACAAATTTTCATTGAAAGCTAACTCCTTAAGGAAGATTTTGACATAAAATGGAGGTCCAGAAGATTTTCCTACATGTTTCTAGAATTTTCAAATTTTGAATGTAAAACAGATTTTTCTGACGCAGTTCTTGAAAATAGAAATTTGATGAGAAAAAAGGTCAACTGGGGGAAATTTTCCACTTCTCTTGTGATGAAAACTTACTAAATAATATGTATTAAAGTCAAAAATTTAAGGTGAATGTATGCCTTTGGAAATTTTGAGAGTTTGATATGGAAAAAGGTAGTCTTATACCGATTAAGAGAAATACAAGAATGTTAGAATCAAGGCTCAACTTCTTTCATTTTTAACATGAGAATACCATCAAAACACATTTGAAAATACCATTTAAAATTTCTAATAACATGTATTTAAAAAAGGAAAATGAAAGAGAGAGTTGTGTTGTGGCTTACTTAAATGCTTATGGAACTAATTTTGCAAAACTTGCTCTCTTCTTCTTCTCCCTTCCACAAGCTCACTCTCCACTCCTCTCCGTCTCTCTATGCCGTGTGGGTGTGTGGTGGGTGTGGTGTTTGATGTTCATATAGATGGAGGATGGTGGTGTATTTATAGGAAAAATGGTGTGAATTGTCTAAAATGTCCTTTGGTTGAAATGTAATGGAATTGAGTTGTATTTAATTCAAATGAAATGGAATAGTGGATAATTAGGACCTTAATTATGTATTTAATTATGATCTAGTTAGGTTTAAGTCTAATTTAACCCATTCTAGTTATAAGTACATTAGATATATACATGTATATATATAGAATTGGTACCAAAGTCAATTATTTCCATGATTCAAGAGATTTGTCTCTAAAGTACAATGATTATAACCTAGGAGGTATGATGGCTAGCCATGTGCTCAAGATTGGGGGATTTTCTTATTTATTTTGTGTATAAATTCCATAGATATTGTGTACAAAAGATTTGATGAATAAGAGGT